GGCGTCCCCCGGCCAGCCTCACGGTGCACGGTGGGGAGCTCGCAGCAGCGATGACCTTCAAGCATCCCAGCCGAGAAGGTGAGCGGCACGGATGGGAATGGGTCGGATGAATGGAGAGAGGTTAGGAAGGATGCAAGGAAGGGCGTGTGATCCCGGGAGAAGGTAGTGAGAGAGGTTTGGTACCCAGCATAAACCCTTCCTTCGGGGTTAGACCTGTAGTTTCTTGGATCAGATTGATTTATAACAGGTGTATGCCAACGCGCGTCCTTAGAAAGATGGCAGAAGTTGAGAGATGCGAGATAGAGAGAGAGAGAAAGAGAGAGAGAGAGAGAGAGAGAGAGAGAAAGAGAGAGGGAGAGAGAGAGAGAGAAATTGGGTTAGGTTTGGATCTGGTTCTTGTGCCCTTGGCCAAGTTATTGCTTCTCTCTGCACCTGATTTCTCCATCCATAGAAGAGTCTAGAACAGCGGTTCTCAACCTGTGGGTCGCGATCCCTTTGGGGGTCGAAGACTGTCGGAAAACACATATATAATTACATATTGTTTTTGTGATTAATCACTATGCTTTCATTATGTTCAATTTGTAACAATGAAAATCCATCCTGCATATCAGATATTTACATTATGATTCATCACAGTAGCAAAATTACAGTTATGAAGCAGCAACGAAAGTAATTTTATGGTTGGGGGGTCACCACAACATGAGGAACTGTATTAAAGGGTCGCGGCATGAGGAAGGTTGAGAACCACTGGTCTAGAAGCATCCTTCAGGTTCACCTTCCTGGGGCCTGAGGAGCTTTGCCGACTGTGGTGGACCTGCCCAGGTCCTGGACCTGCACTGCCCATCTGTTCCTTCTCAGATTCCTTTTTTTTTAAAATCTAGATCCTGGTCTCCCCTTGAGTTCATTTTTTAAAATTCATTCTTGGGAAGGGAAAAAATATTTCAATCATGTATCCCTAAGTTTAGACTCTTTTTTAACTCTGTGGTTTAGGGTACTTCTTTCTGTAGGAATTGTGGCTGGGAATCTTCTCTCCTCTTCTCCCTCCTTCATAAATGTACTCCATGATAAGCCAAACTAACAGATTTGAGGCATTTAATAGCTGGTCAACAGTGTGAAGGGTGTCTTCTTACACTGACCCCCAGGTTCTGTTTTTGGTTTTAAAAAATTTTTTTTGCCCCTATAAATTGGGAAAAGCTCATCGGCTGTTGCCTGAGTCCTCATTTTCCTCAGCGTGAAAGGAGTGGCTGAGTTTGCTAATTTCGAAGAACCTGCCTGCAATAGGTTCTGTCACTAGAAATTTGTTACCCCAACTACCCTGCGCAAGGAAGGAGTCGCCTCAGGGGGTCCCAGCCTCTGCACAAACCTTGGGGTCAGGGGTGCTCCAGAAGGCTCTTTACAAGCCTGATCCACTTCAGACCTGCCAACGCAGAGTGGGGGCAGGCAAAAAACTTTATTTCCTAGGAGACATAGTAGCCTGATCTGAGAGAGAGAGAGAGAGAGAGAATTAAATTGCCATCAATAAGTCAAGTAAATCAATAAAAGACATATTTATATTATATATATATGATATATATATTTAACTTTTATTTTTCCTAAAAGACAAACATTATGGGATATAAATTACCAAAATTGAGAATTAGAATTTCCTTAAGCTTTAAACTTAATTTAAAAATAAAATAACACAAGTTGATCATTTATAGGAAAATTCAAGTAAAGGAAATTTATAAAAATAGGGATTACAGCTCCTCTAAAGCTTTACAGTTAAGGGACAAGAAGGATCTCATGCTGAGTGCCTTGCCCAGCGTCTCAAATCTACCTGCTTTCTGGACAACTGAAGTTATCTGTTAAATTAGAAATTGACATGGAATTTACCTCATCATACAAATCATTAACTAAGCAGGTTCATTTGAATTAGAAGAGTGTATCTACAATTTTAAAAGATTTTGCCTAAGCTGATGGAAGGGGAAAGAAGACTTAGAAAAGGGCTTGCTATCTTCAGAGCGTACAATGTAGCCCGTGGCTAACACAGCCGTTTTGTTCTGGGGCATTTCAAGCTCAACATTAGAAACAAATTATGACCAGTAGGTAACAATCCAAAGGTAAAACACCCTTCTGAATTCTAAACTAGTTCAAGTTAATTGAGGTGGGGTTTCATTGGTGGTTGATTTTCTTTAGAAGACACTTTCCTTTCAGAAAAACAGAACCATTGAATGGCCCTTGCATTCATGTCCCTATTACCATTGTAGTCACTTTCGATGATCAAACGTCTCACTAGTTTTCAAAGTCCGTAGTAAGAATTAACTACATTAGTTATTAAATTAATAACTTAATTTCCTGATCCTCACAGTTCTTAAAAAACACAGGGAAAGGGTAATGGAATAAATTAGGTCCAACATTAAAAAGTGATTTCTCAAACTGGCACACAAATGTTTGTGTCGAAGCAAGGAACACAAAAATAATGAGAATTACACACCTATTTGGGTTAAGAATTTTTATTCTCACTGGCAGAAAAGCTGACTTCAAAGATCTTCCACGCCCAATGGGTCTTTGAAAAATTACAAAGAAAGTGATCAGAATCAATGCCTTTTTCCTAATGATTGTTTTAAAATTATATTCAAACACACATCCCATAAGACAATTACTGTAGGGCTTACTCAGTTAATAAGAATGGTAGGAATAGCATTTACTGAATTGTTTTTTCAGTAGGAAAATTTTTTTTCCACTGAAAGCAATTTAATATCATGAATGCTCAGTAAAAACAAATACTTTTTGATCATCTACTTCAGTGGTTCTCAACCTTGGCTGCACGTTAGAATCAACTGGGAATCTTTTTAAAATCCTGATTTCTGGGCCTCATCCTCCGGAAATTCTGGAGGCCCCACCCCATAACAAAGAAACAGAATTTCCGGAGGATGAGACCCAGAAATCAAGAGTTTAAAAAGATTCCCAGGTGATTCTAACGTGCAGCCAAGGTTGAGAATCACTGATCTAGTTCATATATCCTCTAAGTCAGGTGCAAATGAATGTTAGCTGTTACCCTAAGGAAGTCACAATTAAGCACCAGAATTAAGCACCTATGGGTCGTAATTTGTTTTTCATGTTGAGCTTGAAATGCCCCAGAACAAAGTGGCTGTGTTAGGAAAGGGCTATATTGCTCTGAAGATAGCAAAATTAAGCCAAATTAAGCACCACAATTTATGTATTTTATCTTGGTAAAGAGTAATGCCTGTGGGTTCCCTATTAGGTAGGCAAGGAAGTATAATTTACATTACCCATCCGTGAAAGAAAATTTCAATTTTTGGGACCCTAGAGGGACACCAATTCAAATGTCTTTTCATAGCCAGGCCAGGGCCCTCTCCTCCCCACCCCCACAGGTGACAGGCCCCACCAGAGGTTCCCTCCAGACCGCCGGTATTTACAGTGTGTTTTCAGAAACGTTCAAAACCTCCTAAAACCCTTCTCAGCGGGGATTTGGAACGACCAAGATTTATAAATCAAATCTATAAGATATTGCATACGTTCAAAGGAAAAATTTGTTTATGTTTGTTACAGATACCTAGCAGCCTCCTTCCAGTTGTCTCAGCTCGGGATTCGTTCCTGAAAAATTGATCCTAAAAGCAAACTTTGCCAGAGAGCATTAGGGCGCGGGCGTCGCTGAGCGCCCAGCCGCCTGCAAGCAGGGTCTCACTAGACCCAGCCCTGGGAGACTCCCACCAAGACTCCCGCTTTCTCCCGCCCCCTTCCCCCTGGTCCCCGTGGCTCTGAAATCGCAGTCCCAAGATTTTAAAAACGCGTGTCCCCTAAGATTAAGTTAAAACTCCTGCCAAGCGCCCAATGCCCTGGTGCCCCAGCCTCTGAGAACCCAGACAGACAGACCCACGTTGGTTGCCCCCCGCCCCCCACCCCGTCCTGCTGTGGGAAAGGACGGGAGGAGGGGCCTATGGGAGGGTCTGGGGTGGACGGCTGAAATTTCGACCTGCAGAGGGGGTGGAATCTGTCTCTGGGCTCCGGGTGTTTATTTTTCACGCCTTTGTCTCTAAGCGACCGGCCCTGGGCTGAGAAACACCCTTCTCAGATGTTTTCTAAACAGGTCCTCACCTTGCAGTGTGTGTACAGGGTGGGAAGAAAGGTCGGAAAACTTCGTTGGCTGAGCGGCTACCACAGTGTTTTTAGACTCAAGTTGAGAGGAGGTGTGGGGTGGGGGTTTGGGGGAGAGTGGAGGGGTCACCCTGCCCTGGACAGGTCTTTAGACCCCTTCCAGCCCCTGAGAAACCTGATGTGCATGCATGCCTGTGCGTGTGTGTACGTGCGTCCCTAGGGCAGGGGTGTGCGGCCCAGCTTCTCACACCCACAGTAACCTGCCCCCGGGGCTGGGCAGGGGCAGCTGCAGGGGAAAAACACTCCAGAGTTCCCCCTCAACCCGAAGTG